GAAAGTATACTAAAAACTATAAGCAAATGAATCAAAAAGTAAACATAAAACGATAGAGGTATACATTACCTATTAACTGATGAATAGACGATTTTCAATAACAAATAACTCGCTAATTATGATGTATTTCGAACTCTAAGTAAACAAGTAACAAAATAACACATTAAAAGTATAATTTAGGCAACAAATGGTTTACTCAATAGCTATACTATACCGTAAAAAGAGTACTTAATTACTTATAGAGAAATATCCGTTTGAAAACAATAATTACTATATAAAATCACAAGTAAATAACATTAGTTTACAAGTAAATAAAGCGCAATAATACAGAGTAAATACTCACTTGCCTGAGGCGAGGTTTGATGCGGGAATACCGTGCGGACAAGCTGTGAGGACAGCAGCTAAATTGTGGAGAATAAAACAGCTAAAACCTGTTCATTTTCTTGAAATAAAAGCATTTATGCTAAATGCATTAAAGCATATGAAAATACATGTATTTCCATCGCATACAATGTATTTCAATAGGGTTTGCATTGAGTCAATGCATTACAAAACCAGTTTTCAAAAACCACTTTAGTCAATACATTAATACTGTACTAATAGTAATACAGTTAATGCAAAAACTTGTTTTCTCGCTGTCATTGGGTATTACGTCAGTGCGTTTTTGCGCATTGGCGGCCATTTTTACATTCCTTACCAAAACTTGTTTCTCGTAGACTCAATGTGTTTGCAATGTTATAGTAAAAGTTGTTTTGCTCACAAAACTGAACGTGTTTTAAGAGTTTTATTATCCCATGTTATAAGTATAGGGAATTATTTTGGTCAGTAATTGTGCTAAATCGACCTGCAATAGCGGTAAAAGAACCGTCGGTAACTAGTTTTGCTGTGTATATACTTGTGTTCATACTTAAAATTTTTGTCTAATCATAACCATTATTACTGTTCATGCTATCAACGTGTAAAACTACTCTAAAAAGTTTTTGATTGTGTAAATTGTTTACTAAATTGCTTTAATTGACTATTTGCTCGCATAATTGGTATATCAAGTAAGCCTTAACCATTACTTCCCGAACACGAGTTTAATTGTTATGATTTACTCTTAAGCATGGTACTAATTAAGAATGTAAACAACTCCTTGCGAAATAAAGCCAAACATCGTGGCTTACCGCCCGTTAGATGTATAGGCAAACCATCAGTGCACGGGCCTAACGCTAATGTCCCGTACATTGGAGCGCCATTAACCAGCACGACTACCACTAATAATAACTGGACTAATGGTAATTGGGTCGTGGTTATAGACAACCCCACCACGTCCGCTGTAACCGATCCCGTTGTCAATAACAGCTCTGAGACAACACCAGAGCCGTCCATTGCTGTGTTAGCTGATCCAGACCCGAGTATTGTACCACTAACCACAACCATTGATAGCGTAGACCAGAATGATGACGGAGACCCCATTCGCTTCATAGCACTGAACGAGCCGTCCACTATTGTTATGCCGAGTGTTGCCGGCTCCAGCAAGGCTGGCCCGGGTATACTTACGGCAAGCGGTGCTGTCAGACGGCCTATGGGAAAGCCCGAGCACATGATTAGGACCCGACTAATAGCGGCTACCTTTTCGAAAAAGCGCGGCGGTATTAAGAAGCCCAAACGCAAACCGACTAAAAGGACACGAAGAGCTCGGGACGACCCAGAACCGTTACGAAGAGCTGGCAGGCCAGCCGATCCACCATGGCTCAAGGAAATCAAGAGATACCAGGACAGTACCGATATTTTGATCAAGAAGCTACCCTTCCAAAGGGTTGTCCGAGAGATTGCCCAGTTTATGAGAGATGATATACGCTTCCAGAGTGCCGCGCTCGGGGCTCTTCAAGAAGCGGCCGAAGCCTTCCTTGTGATGGTGCTTACAGACGCAAACCTAGCGGCCATACACGGGGGCCGGGTAACTATTACTCCTAAAGACGTACAGTTAGCCCGGCGTATCGGGAACTATTAATAATAAAATGCATTTAATTCAGTAGAAACTATGTCCCATTCATTTGTATTGTTTAGTACGGGACCCGATCGGGTCCCGAAATAGGTCAAAATAGTAGGCCAAAAATAGGCCAATAGTAGGCCAAAATAGGCCAAAAATAGGTCAAAAAAAAA